TGTGTGTGTGTGTGTGTGTGTGTGTGTGTGTGTGTGTGTGTGTGTGTACACACCAGTGAGGGCTCGATCTCGTTGGGTTCCACGTACGTCTTCACCTCATACAGAGAGGCACAGTCTTTCTCCTGTGTTGGCACAATACACTTTTAGGGACCAGTCGTTGCAGATGACATGTTACTGGGTTTAGAAACATATATACAGGTGCTGGTCATATAATTAGAATATCATCAAAAAGTTGATTTATTTCACTAATTCCATTCAAAAAGTGAAACTTGTCTATTATATTCATTCATTACACACAGACTGATATATTTCAAATGTTTTTCTTTTAATTTTGATGATTATAACTGACAACTAAGGAAAATCCCAAATTCAGTATCTCAGAAAATTAGAATATTACTTAAGACCAATACAAAGAAAGGACTTTTTAGAAATCTTGGCCAACTGAAAAGTATGAACATGAAAAGTATGAGCATGTACAGCACTCAATACTTAGTTGGGGCTCCTTTTGCCTGAATTACTGCAGCAATGCGGCGTGGCATGGAGTCGATCAGTCTGTGGCACTGCTCAGGTGTTATGAGAGCCCAGGTTGCTCTGATAGTGGCCTTCAGCTCTTCTGCATTGTTGGGTCTGGCATTTCACATTATCCTCTTCACAATACCCCATAGATTTTCTATGGGGTTAAGGTCAGGCGAGTTTGCTGGCCAATTAAGAACAGGGATACCATGGTCCTTAAACCAGGTACTGGTTGCTTTGGCACTGTGTACAGGTGCCAAGTCCTGTTGGAAAATGAAATCTGCATCTCCATAAAGTTGGTCAGCAGCAGGAAGCATGAAGTGCTCTAAAACTTCCTGGTATACGGCTGCGTTGACCTTGGACCTCAGAAAACACAGTGGACCAACACCAGCAGATGACATGGCACCCCAAACCATCACTGACTGTGGAAACTTTACACTGGACCTCAAGCAACGTGGATTGTGTGTCTCTCCTCTCTCCCTCCAGACTCTGGGACCCTGATTTCCAAAGGAAATGCAAAATTTACTTTCATCAGAGAACATAACTTTGGACCACTCAGCAGCAGTCCAGTCCTTTTTGTCTTTAGCCCAGGCGAGACGCTTCTGACGCTGTCTGTTGTTCAAGAGTGGCTTGACACAAGGAATGCGACAGCTGAAACCCATGTCTTGCATACGTCTGTGCGTAGCGGTTCTTGAAGCACTGACTCCAGCTGCAGTCCACTCTTTCTGAATCTCCCCCACATTTTTGAATCGGTTTTGTTTCACAATCCTCTCCAGGGTGCGGTTATCCCTATTGCTTGTACACTTTTTTCGACCACATCTTTTCCTTCCCTTCGCCTCTCTATTAATGTGCTTGGACACAGAGCTCTGTGAACAGCCAGCCTCTTTTGCAATGCCCTTTTGTGTCTTGCCCTCCTTGTGCAAGGTGTCAATGGTCGTCTTTTGGACAACTGTCAAGTCAGCAGTCTTCCCCATGATTGTGTAGCCTACAGAACTAGACTGAGAGACCATTTAAAGGCCTTTGCAGGTCTTTTGAGTTAATTAGCTGATTAGAGTGTGGCACCAGGTGTCTTCAATATTGAACCTTTTCACAATATTCTAATTTTGTGAGATACTGAATTTGGGATTTTCCTTAGTTGTCAGTTATAATCATCAAAATTAACAGAAATAAACATTTGAAATATATCAGTCTGTGTGTAATGAATGAATATAATAGACAAGTTTCACTTTTTGAATGGAATTAGTGAAATAAATCAACTTTTTGATGATATTCTAATTATATGACCAGCACCTGTATATATATTCAACTGATATTAGGCTTCAATGCCCAGTAGCAGAGCTAAAACAATGGGTGACTAGGATGCATCAGTGATGGAGATAAAACGTGTAAATATAACAGCTTTGAAGACATTGGAAGGCCTATGTTTTTTTTATTCAAATATATCATTTTTTAAGCCATGTCAGCAGTGGGGTCATAGGTATGACAATGTCAGTCGGTGCAATTAAAATATCTCAGCAACTATTGGATAGTTCGCCATAACAATTTTGTACAGATGATCATGGTGCCCAGAGGATGAATCCTAGTTATTAATTATCCTGGTAAATATCTTAACATATACTAAAATAATGGGCCCAAACATTTGCAGACATTCATGGTTCCCAGTTTATGAACCCTAATGACTTTGGTGATGAACTTCATTCGTGGTGGAAAGTGACAAAGTACCTTTACTCAAGTACTGTACATAAGTTCAATTTTGAGGTACTTGCACTTCAATTCTTTTCTTTACTTCATACTTCTTCTCCACTACATCTCAAAGACAAATATGGCACTTTTCACTTCACCACATTACTAGTTGCATTGCAGCTTCAGATTATTAATACAAATATATAATCAATAAATACATTATGATGCATTATTATGGCTAAAGATAAGACTTGACTGTTACCCGGCAGGGTAGATTATAAAGAAATAAGCCTCACATTGACCTGCTTTAACAATAAAGTATATAACACATTGATGCATCAAAAATTACAATCCAGTAATTTATACTTTTCTAAAATGGGCTGTTCTGCATTATGAGTATTTTTTTTAATTTTTTTTTTACTTTAAGCATATTTTGATGCTAATACTTTTATCCGTAAAGTCAGTTTTTGAACTTTTCCTTGAGTATTTCTACACTGTGGTATTCCAGCTTTTTGCCAAGTAAACAATCTGAATCCTTCTTCCACCACTGATCCACAACTATTTAATGGATAGCCATAAAGTTTGGCTCAAACATTCATGTCACCCTCATGATGAATTGTAATAATTTTAATGATCTCTTGAGGTTTCCTCTAGGGCCATCCACAGGCATAAATATCAGTTTCTCCAGTGCTTTAGCGCATGACTACAGGTCTGCAAAACTAATGACATTTCCATCAGCCTCAGCTGTACCATGAGTACTAGGAAATTTTGGCCTGCTGACACAAACATCAGCATGTCAACATTTTTATTGTGAGCATGCTGATGTTATCATTCAGTGTAAGTACTGTATCACAGAGCCACTAGCAGCACAGCTTGCTTAGCGATATGATCCAGTCCTGGACCATGCAGTCCCCTAGACCAGTGATTTTCAACCGCTGTGCCGCGGCACACCAGTGTGCCGTGAGAGATCGTCAGGTGTGCCGTGGGAAAATGTCCAATTTCACTTAATGAGTCCAAAAAAAATATTATTTAGTTGTTGCAAATACTTTGCCATTGTTGAGCGTCTGAGCTGCAATATAGTGGCTGGCTAAGTAATAAATACTCTTCCATGCCAGTGGGTGGCAGTAGGTAGCGCAGTAATGACGTGTTAATTTAGGACAGCAGAATGAAATGACGCGCGGGACGAGACGAGCAGCGATGGAGAAATACTCCACACATACACATTTAGAGACTTGTTATTAAATTGTCAGCATATATCCGGCCCTCGGTACAACGGCCCGCCAGAAAATATCATATGTTTATCATAACTGGCCCGCCACACCACAGAGCTCCGGGACGAAAAGTGGTGATGTTAGCTGGCTTTATGTGCAACATAATGAAGCATCTCACTGCGCTAAACCTCCAGCTTCAGGGACGGGGACGTATGATCACAGACATGTGTGATGCAGTAAAGGTCTCCACCACTGTATTCCCGACTGCGCATTTTGCTGATAACTGGGCGCACTTGGCACAGAGTTCACCCGGCGATTTGCCGACTTTGCATCTCAGAAATAAAAATTTGAACTGCTCAGCAATCCGTTTGCTGAGCAAACCTCCAGTGTAATGACACTGAAGACAAAGTGTGACTCTGAGGGCGCTGCACAGTTTCCAAGCTTCACCCCCGAAACGATGCCTTAACTCCGCCTACATGCTGCTCAAATGCTCTGCATGTTTGGAAGCACATACCTGTGTGAGCAGCTGTTCTCTGTGATGAAGATGAACACAAAGCCACACAGGAGTCGTCTCACTGATGCACCTTCACTCCATCGTGAGGGTTTCCACAGAACCTAACCCCAGATATTAATGAACTAGCAGCCAAGAAAAGATGCCAAACATCTAGCTCTGGTATGCATACAATAATGTAGCCTACCTAAACATGTATTCTTTTTGCACTTTGTCCAATATCCCTTTTATCCTGTTTATTAAATGGTGACTCTATTTGGCCCTCAACGTAGTCACAATTTCTTATTTTGGCCCTCTCTGTGATTGAGTTTGACACCCCTGACATATATGCTGTATTATGCTAAAAGGTGTCATTTTGTAACGTTTTTGGTTGTTGGTGTGCCACGGGATCTTTTTAATGTAAAAAATGTGCCGCGGCTCAGAAAAGGTTGAAAAACACTGCCCTAGACAGACAGAGCAGATTTACAGACATCCCACTTATAAAGACTAGGGCCCATTACCCAAAAGATAAGATGAAGAGGAGGATAAACGCAAGATCCCCTGGCAGGTTATCACCTGAAGAAAGTGACGTGTCAGGTGCAGCTTTACAATAAGTCCGTTGGATTTGTTCTGACTTGTTGGTTAAATGTTTCTAAAATATGTTGATTCAAAGCATTTTTCTGTTATGTCTCAATTATCTCTGGTCTTTGTATGTCTCCTACAGTCACTCACTGTGCTAAAGTGGTCCACCACCTCGGGGGTGACTGGGTAACGGAGCTTGATCTTGCGATACAGTGGCTTCTTCCTGAAGTAGTTGACCAGGTCCACGAGGCTCTCAAACTCGGTTGTGGTGCCCAGCAGGTACATGTTGCCCTCCTTCTGGATGCGACAGTGTTTGACCTTACCGTCACCTCTGAATGAGAGAGAGATGATTAATACACACACACACGCACACACAGATCCAGCAAAGACAAATAAAGTCTGAAGTGTCATTGCACCTGAACGTGATGACGAAAGAGTTTGGTTCTCCTTCTCTCTGTCGGATGAGGAAAGCTCCGTCTCTAGGAATCCTCAGCAGGTAGTCCTCGGCCTGACCTCTGCTCAGGTTACTGTAGAACCACCTGCACAACACACACACAAAAGCATAGTGTCAGGATCCCTGTCTGACACTTGTTTCCCCCCTGATCTCCTCTCCTTGAACGGTCAATCCGGCTCCAGCACCCGGACGATCCTCTCCGGTCCCCGCCCAGCCGGTCCGGGAATCCCCCGTGCCGGCTCCGGATCCCTATGACGGAACGCTGGGGAGGTGCTGGGGCTTCCTGTTTCAATGCTGACAGGTATTTGACAGTCAGCCTCAGGCTTTTGCCTCGGACAGATCCAAAGTTTCCTACGTGGTTGGATTATTGCGGAGAAGAGCTCTGGACTGGTCCACGTGCATGTTGAGGCTTGATCGGCCTAATACCGTGCCTTATGTGAACTTTGTGGAGGACCTGAGGAGGGTGTTTGACCACCCAGTGGACACCACCGATGCGGCTCAGCGCCTTCTCCGACTGAGACAGGGCCAATCGAGTGTGGCGGAACACTCAGTGGACTTCCGAATTCTCGCCGCCGAGTCCGGGTGGGATGAGACGGCACTCAGGGGAGTTTTCCTTCACGGACTATCTGAATCCATAAAGGATGAATTGGCCACCCGTGATGAAGCCAATTCATTGGATGAGCTAATCAAGCTCACGATCAGGCTAGATAATCGGATGCGTGAGAGGCGCCGTGAGAGGAACTACAGATCCCAAGGGGCATTGCCCTCGCAACGTCAGCCTCTTCAAGCTTCCGCTCCCATCCTCCAGCGTCAGCCTATCGGATCAAACGGACGCATCCTCGAGCTCCAAGTCCGTCACCCTCTTTCACCTCGGAGGTGGAACCAATGCAGCTCGGCCGTGCTCACCTTTCACCACAGGAGAGAGATAGGTGGATCAGAGCGGGCGAGTGTCTGTACTGTGGCCGCCCGGGACATTCGATTCTCTCCTGATCAGTTTGGCCAAAAGGGGGCGCTCGCCAGTAATGGTGGGGATACTGGCGAGTGGACTCGAGCACTCTCTCAACTCACTACCGAGACTACTGTTGCCTGCGTCTCTCTCTGCACTCCCACTCTCTCCCTGATGGCATTGGTGGACTCTGGAGCAGAGCAAAATTTTGTGGACACAGAATTAGTAGCCAGAAACCAGATTCCCTTAGAGACACTATAATGCCCACTAATGGTCAACGCCCTGAACGGCAGCTTCCTGGGCAGCATCACCCACCGGACCCAGCCGCTCCGGCTCATCCTGTCTGGAAATCACAGAGAGAGACTTCAGTTCTCCTAAAACCCCCTTAGTGCTGGGCCACCCTTGGCTTACCACTCATAACCCTCAGATTGACTGGACGGTGGGAAGGATTTCTGCATGGAGCCCATACTGTCATGCAAACTGCCTAGGATCTGTGCTGCCCCCTGGAGGTTCCCCCGGGGGTTTACCGATTCCCCCGCCAGATCTCGCCTCCATACCCACTGCCTACCATGTCATCGGGGAGGTGTTTAGCAAAGGTCAGGTTCTCTCCTTACCACCTCACCGACACTTCGACTGCGCAATGATCTCCAGCCAGGCTCTTCGTTCCCGTCCAGTCCAACCTCCCGCCGGCTTGCTGCAACCCCTTCCGGTGCCACATCGTCCCTGGTCCCATATCGCCATGGACTTCGTCACAGGTCTCCCGCCCTCTCAAGGGAACACAGTCATCGTTACGGTGGTCGACCGCTTCAGACCGCTGAATTGCAGTGCTTTGTAAAAGAAAACAAAACCCCAAACAAAGAATCAAATGTCCGACCCTAAACCCGCGCATGACGGGATGCTTCATTATTAACGGACAATGCATATAGTCAAAATCAACGTAATTAACACAATGACAAGAACAAACTCACAAGAACCAGTCACATATATTTATATGACAACAAAGCATGACACATCAATCCGCTAAAACACGTATTCTGCGGCACACTGAAGAGCACGAGCCATTCAAGTATTATTCACATCAGAGGGAACAATATTAACCGTATCATACAAACGACACCATAGACAAATTAACACAGTAGTAACGCTACTGCAGATGTAAAAACACAAAAGCACTTCACTTACTAAAGCCGCTGTTCACTTAAAGACAAAGTCCATCCTCATTTCTTTGTTTACAAAGACTTTAATACCGCGGTTGTACAGAACATCGGTGCGGTTCAGTTCCAGTAAGAGGTCCTCCTGCGAACTTGTTCGCTGAGTTGTAGATCCATTCGGGTCTCAGCAAAAGTTTTCGAAAGCACCGTAGCTTGTAAGTGTCCTGTTGTGCTATGGTGTCTTGTTGCTGCCTTGGTAAGCCACCTCAGGTTAGCGTAGTGTAGCTCCTTGCAAATGAAACGCATTCCCAGCCATAAAATGTGCAATGCTTCTCCGACGCTGTTAGCCAGAAATACCATTCGTACAAATCCTTTTCCTGGCTGGGTCAGGGCTGCTGTGGGGTTGGCTGAACCTTTCTTACGATGTCCAATTTTTTTCTGGAAATGTCCTTCTTGAGAAATCCGTTTCTCCTCCTTCAGCCATTGAGTGCTAAAAAAACAAAGCTAGGTAAAAAAAAAAAAAGAATCTAATGCTAAAAATGTTCATAACTTCTTAGATATCAACTTGAAATGCAGTGGCGGGCGATGCATTTTATACCTAGGCCTTCACTGTTGTCCTGCAGCTGAAATACCACCTTATAACCACATGATGGCGCCACAGTTATTATTCGTTTCTAAGGGTGTAACTATGTATGTATTAAACTGTTCGGTATGAGGCTTACAATACGTTTGAATAGTACTAGAGCATTTGGAAAATGCAGAAGCTTAGATTCAGGAAAATATAATGTTTTCTGCGCTCATGGAGGACAGTGGTTCTCAGTCTATCTAAATTGTATAATAATACAGGTCTGGCTGTTGGACCCACCATCATTCCTTAATGACAAGTCGCGACCCAAAGAGATTGTCTTATAATTTTACTTTCACAACTTGAACATTGCCCATACTGCTCTGCAATGTCTTTCCTCGTCTCAGCCCCCTGTGTCATGGTCTGTGGTACATCTCACTCGAGTCAGGAAACTTGTCAGAATGCCCATATTTGATTGGCTGAGCTGCATCACTTGATGTGATTCACAACGCCGACTAAGCCTCTGCTGTTAAGTTTTGTTTCACGATAGTCACGTGCTCGCCCACTGACCAATCACAGCACACTCTGCACCTCACGGCAGAGCTGCACATGGACACTGAGCTGCACGTAATGCTGACGTACCTGTAGGCCGGCTAGCAGGCTCTGATACGTCAAAGAATACGACCAACATGTCAAACTAAAGATCTGATTGGTTGAAGACTATGACAATCAACAATATCGTCCCCATTCACTTAAACTGCACATGGATGCACTTGTGAGTCTGCAGGCCTCGGGCCTCTCTTCTTACCTAGAGACACAGAGGTGAAATCTGATTGGATAAAAGCTCTACTTAAAACAAGCTGCACTGGAAGCAGAGCAACTGAGGAAGACAATAGCTGTGCAATGAGAAAATAAGATAATGGGAAAAATATTATAATACATGTAGTGTATTTATGAAAAATTATTAAATTATAAAATAGATATAGCTTTGTGATTCTGTTTAGGCCAGCAGAGAAGGCTTTGCTGGCCCTGATGGCCCACCACTGATATATATACAGTATATATCAACCGCCCATGCATGCCATATATAGACCGTTATTACAGACATAATCTATTATTACCCATCATTTTAACTC